CTGTAAGTGGTCCTTGATCGCCGCTGGCCACTGCTGGCAGTGTCTGTTGGTGGTCCCCTCCCCACCACCGCCAGCGCCGTGGCCACCTGTGGGAGCTCACCACTTGCTACCACCATGCTCCCACTGCCACCAATGCCGCTGCTGCCTGTGGGAGCTTGCCGCACCCCCCCAGCCTCCAGGGGCATGCAGCATTCATGGCATACAGCGTTACTATACTGCCTGTGTACTAAATATTATGCAACAGAAATATTAGTAAAAGATTTGTTTCTTTATAGTGTCAGAAATAAAGATGCAACTGTGTGTCTTCTAACTTTATTCACATAAAGAATGAAGTGCAATGAATAGGGCTGTACAAAGCTTTGGTAGCGGATTCGGAGGAGATTTGGCCCAATTCAGCGGCTGAATCTCTGAATCTGAACTGAATCAGGAAACCAATTAACGGTCCAAACCAAATTGGAAGCATCTGAATGAATTCGGAAAAGATTCGGCACCACTTCGGAAATTCGGCCACAGACCAAACAGGCAGCAGTCCTCACCGTGCTGGACACAGCTGCCTCCAGCTGGTTAAGTCTGTTGTAGTGCATGGAGGGGGGAGGGAAGGGGCAAGGTGGTGGTGAGGGGCAGATCAACACCTCCACAGTGAGGGAGTGATTGGGGCTGGGATGTTACGAATTACGCTCTTAAAGCCACATGCAGTTCGCTTTAGGCTGGGGCAATGATCACGCAGAGCAAGTATCCAAAGTCAGATACAGAATCTTTATTTGCTGCAGTGAGGTGCTTCCAAGGAGGGACCCCACCTACCAGTTATAATACTATTTTATACCTTGTTAGTACGTCAGCATTAGTTCGTGATTAGCTCGTGCTTGTAAGAACACCCAATCATCTACTAACTAAATTACTATTCTATCCAATCAAGTGACATTGTGCGCATGAACACCAAAGTTTAACTCTCGTGACTGCATGTTTTATATATTCTTGCCAAGTAGTCTGCTTGAAATAAAACAATTTTTATACTGCTTTCACGGTTTCTCTGTTGACAAGGCTCCTCTGTTGACCGGATTCAGCTAGTTTCATATCTTATCAGTAACCCTTTACACAGCACTTCTCTTCTCACCCATCTAGTATGTGCTGTGTCCGCTTCTATGTATTGAGGTTAAAAGGTAAAAGAAATGACCTTACTTCTATATTGCAAAATCCACACACAGTGACAAGCTGCCCAGTTGGGGAGGGAGAACATGCGATTTGGGGTGGGGGGCTGTTACTGTCCAGGATTACACAAGGAAGCTTTAGATATCAACAGATGAATCTCAAAAAACAATTATGCTAATGTTAATTATAATATTAATAATACACAAATTCACTTCAAGCTTTTTTAATCCAAACTAAATAAATCAAGCAATTGCATTAAATGTTACTGATAAATGAAACCTCCATTAAGTGTTCTCTTGGATAGTAGCCATTTTGTACATCATAGCTAGATAACCCCATGTTTTAGACTATTAAAGACAAAGAGAAATATTATTTCCTAATAATCTGAGTAACTAAATATTTACTCAATCTATAGGTGAGATGGTTTAAGGAACACCCATAACGTGTATAGACATTCACTTTTCATCACCATATGGAAAACAGGTCTAGGAACCATTTTATTTTCTTTGTAGGAAAAAGTTATAAAAACTTCATACATTTATTGTTTTATGGAGTTCTGGAAGCAATCAAAAGAACTGAAAACAAAATGTATATTTAAGCACTTATGATCTCCTAAGTCTTGGTTCTTTACTCTTAAATGAGATTCATGTATTTTTCACTTAATATTTCAGGTAATTTAGACTCTTTTAAAAATCCAAGTATGTTTTTAGAGAGTCAGAATTCTACTTCCACTACTATTAAAAAAAGCAAAAAGTGCTTTCCTGTTATGCTGGGATTTCTTATAGGACACATCCCAAATCATACCGTGGAGATTGACCCTTTTCCTAATTTATGCCTCATTAAGCCTTTATAGATCTATCGACTGTCATAAATAGATGGCTACAATGTATTTTTAGAGCCCAGTTCTGAAATCAAGATCCAAATTTTAAACTGGTAAAGAAATTCAATATAATTTCAGGACATATCATATATAACTTGCTGTTTCTCCTTTCCTGAAAGCAATATATAGCTTGATTTTTAGGAATTATATAGGCTTAAAAATATGAACTCACTTAAAGATTTAAAAATACTACTACATGATACTGGAGTATTGCTAACTGGTATCGATCTCTTTCACATTGTGAAAGTATTAAGCCAACTAGTTTTCAATGTCCTCCAATATACACTGTCAAAAATGAATGCCTTAAAACTACCAGAGGGGCAGATGATTTAAAATGCAACACACAATTGCAAAATTTAATACTATAGTCTCTCTTTACTACAAAGACCCTCCTCCCCCAAAAAACCCACCAAAAACACCTGAATGCGGAACTTAAGAGTTTTACCAAAATGTTTTGCAGAAGAAGGAACTGTTTTTTGTTTGAAATATTATGAATTCAGTTACAATGCATATGAAACTTCTTATAAATTGACAAATATTTGAAACACATGGTCAGAAATGCAACACAGCATCAAAAAACATGAAGTTAACAAACAGTAGTGATTTTCCCAAAACTAAAAAGAAAGAAAGAAAGAAAGAATTTTAGATAAAATGCTTGCTACTTTAGCTCTCCAAAACTAACTGCTCAGTTTCACTTTAATATAAAACTGCACAGAACAGCAATGTAGAGGTATATGCAGGCCCTATGGAGTAGCTAAACTGACTTCAAGCTCTAATCAAACCTCTTTTCTTTATCACTAAATCTTATTTACCTCAAATAAGTCTATGAGCCATAAGGCCACTTTAGACCAGAGAAAAAAAGGAACTTCAGGACAATCAACAAAAGTTTGACAGTGAGGTTTCAAAGACTATGGACAGTGTCTTTGTAAAAGACTAAATGAGACCCTAGAATAAAACTGAAAAGAAAAATGGAATTTTCCATGCGTAATCTGTGCTTTCCTGCTATGAAAAATATTTTAATATTCTACCGAGGTAAAAATTTTAAGCACGTACCTCTTTGGATAATCGTGTGAACACATCTCCTCCCCTGAGAAAATCCAATATTAAATATAGTTTCCCTTCGGTCTGAAAGGCTGATTTAAAAAAAAAAAAAAATGACAACTGTTAATGAATAGCTTTATATGATGATAGAAGAGTTCTACGCAGAACTAAATTATTCCAGAATACAAATTGAAAAAGTAACAGAATATACTTGTTTCTGAATTGAAATTATTTATAATTGGCACAAGGAATCCATATAAATGACTGATTTCTGTGAAGTAAAAAATAAATAATGACTACAAAGTCTTAGTGAAAGGAGATCTCATAATCATGCTGCAATTCTTTGCTAAGCAGAGAGAAACCCCCAATACATGTAAAATATCTGTCTGTCAATTAGTAACAGTGCACCAGAATATTTTTCCCATCAATTGTTCAACTCTAACAACTTCATACATTAAGAAGTTAGGAATTAAAAACATTATCCATGTATTAGCCCAACCACTGATGAAATTTTCAATATAGATACGGACCAACTCTTATCATAGCTAAGAGTTTAAAAGGTTTTATAAAGAATTGTTTTTAAGACACGAAAAGTAAAATGTGTGGGAAATGTCAGCCCAACTTGTACAATCTCTGAAAAGTATACTGTAAAGCACGTCGCTGAAAAATTTGGAAATTTTTTTCAAAACAATGAGGTCATCCCTCTTGACCTGCTTGTATGCATTGTCCAAGGTGTACAAAACACCTCATAATTCAATCCCTTGCATTACCCATAATAAAAGACATAAATGAGAAACTGACAAAGTCAAAAACATTCATCTAAAGTCCTTTCTTGTCAAAAGTTACTTACTGTGGCTCTAACACCTAACTTTTTTAAATTTATAGCAACCTTACAAGGAAAATAGTTCTTTATTTTACCTTGCACAGCTGGCAACACTCAGCATCAAGTCAGTTTCAGTAACCAACATAAGTCAACTAATTTCCACTTTTGTCAGCTATGAATACAACAATATTGTATTGCATTCAATATAGCTTTGAATACAAAAAATAAAGGCAAAAAATAAGCGATAACAACACTATAAAAACTGGGTCAAGGACTCAAGAGACAGATATAGTAGCTCAAGTTGTGTTTAACTATGTCTAATATATTTCAAGTTGATTGTGTCCATTTACAGAAAAGAAACTACAAGAATGAAAGAGATCATCCTGCAACCACTAAGGCCAGTGACAGATGTTCAATTAAAAAGCACTGCAATCCACAATACTAATTCATACCTACTGCCATGACAGGAGGTGCAACTGTGAGATTGAGCATCAGGTCCCAGTTGTGTCTTAGGGCTAGTGCAGAGGAAGCCCGGGATCATGATCCTGGACTCCCCCCTGCACTGGTAAGTAGCAAACTGGGTGCCCAGTGTCACCATGGCTGATAGCACCAGTCAGCTGACTGGCACTTCCAGCCACAATAGCAGACCAGAGAAGCTGTGGTGCACTCCTGCAACTGGGAGTGCCAATCACTTGATAGGCATTGGTTAGGCATTCCATTTTAAGGTGCAACAGGAACCAAAGTGTGCGCCTCAAAGTGCTCTTTCCATCTAGCTTGGACTAATTCATTGCCTCTGCTTGGCGGAGCACTGAATCATCCTACAATCTCAAGAAAGTAGAACTGTGGGAAGTTGGGCCACAGATGGCTTCCATTGCCAGAGAAAAAGGCTACATATATCATGTTTGTCAGCACAGAGCTTGATTTCCTTGGCTTTCTCCTGCCACCACTGATTTTTGATTTCCCAGATCCTCCTTTGAATTTTGGCTTTGATGAGCTGATATCTCCTTCTTCTGGAGACAAGGTGCCATCTTGCCTAGCAAAATAAGGCCTCTTCTTGGTGAGGAGGTCTTGAATCTCATTGTTTTTCTTCTCATTGTTTCTCTCATTAAAACCAGTCTTCATGTCAACAGGTGGTATAGCCAACAGACTCGGCACAGGCCATATGAACAGCAACTTTAAACCCCTTCCTCAATGTTGCCTTCATTTGTGGACAGGACAGAGAGTTTTTCATGCAGACATAGTTGGAGATCCTTACATACATTTGGGTCTTGAAGAGATATGGTGTTGACAGCCCTTTGCACTGCTTTTAGCGGTTTGCAGGTATTCAGAGCAAACTGGATGTTCATAATGGACCTAACAAGACAACAATCCATCCAGCAGTCAACCAGCTCTTTGCCCGGCTCATGTTTCATAGCTGGTAAGATCGGAAGGGACCTGAGCAGATCATCAAGTCTGACCCCCTGCCATGGCAGGAAAGAGTACTGGGGTCAAACGACCCCAGCAAGGTATTCATATAGCCTCCTCTTAAAGACCCCCAGGGTAGGAGCCAGCACCACTTTGCTTGGAAGTTGGTTCCAGATCCTAGCTGCCCTGACAGTGAAGTAGCGCCTCCTGATGTCTAATCTGAAATTACCCTCTGCCAGCTTTTGACCGTTATTTCTAGTCACTCCTGGTAGTGCTTGGGGGAACAGGGATACCCCAATGCCTGCTGGTCCCCCCTGACTAGTTTGTAAAAGGCCACTAGATCCCCCCTCAGCCTTCTCTTGTGGAGGCTGAACAGGTTCAGGTCCGATAGCCTCTCCTCGTAGGGCCTGCCCTGCTGCCCCCTGATCATGCGGGTGGCCCTCCTCTGGACCCTCTCCATGTTGTCCACATCCCTCCTGAAGTGCGGCGCCCAGAACTGGACGCAGTACTCCAGCTGCGGCCTGACCAGTGCCGCATAGAGGGGGAGGATCACCTCCTTGGACCTGCTTGAGATGCATCTGTGGATGCATGACAAGGTGCAGTTGGCCTTCCT